AGTCGCGATCGGTACTCGCAATGGTGGGCAGTGGGCTATGTTATTATATGTACCCTACATACTCTCTTATTGGAGTTTAATTTGGCGGTGGAATTCACCATCTCCACTCGCTCAATTACTCCCTCGAATCACGGGGCTGGGTGGTGGTGGGGGGGGGGGGGGGGGGGGTGGTGGAATGGACGAGACACAAAGAAGATGATGATGGGGCGGGGAATTGTGATAAGCGTAATTAATTGTGAGGACATCTCCTCCTCAGTTGTTTACATTTCACCGTTTCGGGTTCCGTCCAGGGGTACCTACGTTTGCAGCCTCGCAGCAGCAGGCACATTTGCGGGGATGTAGTGGAGGGGTTCTTCCCTGCTGTTGGCCTGGTTGTGGTTGGCTACGCGGGGTGGGTTATGTTACTCCAAAGCCTCTCATCGGTTGCCCAAGACAACATAACCCCAGCCTCCCTTGAATTCACAGTAGAGTAATGTAGGTAGCGCGCCACACTATTTCCCTCCCCAACCGCTGTTCTGCTTGCGAGTCTCTCTTCGTTGCCAGTGTTGCTACTGCTGCTGCTCCCTCTGGCAGCCAATTGTCGACGTCAACACTAGACAACCACCCACTCACTACATGATATCCCTCCTCTAACTATCGCACATACACCCCCCCCCCCCCCCACCCACTCTTTACATCCTTCTCGAGTCTTGCTTAATTCTACTCTTACTGCATTGATTGCCTTTCCCTTCTTTTTCCCCTTCTTTACCACCTTCCTGCAGGAAGTCATCCGTCCAGGCAGATCTTGCAGTAGAGACTAGGTACTGCAACACTCTCTCTGCCAGTGGTTGCTGCACACCGTTTGTACTTGCTCTACGCTCCTAGTATACCCTTCTCGCTTTACTCTTTTCTGCATCATTCCTCCGACCTTTTTTCTTTTACTTTTACCTTTTACATCTCGAGCCCTTTTTCAAGAAAACTGGGATTCCCTTAAATACGTATTTTTACCCTCGCAACCCTCTTTTCCTCTACTCCAACTTTGAACACATTCCTTCGAAGCTGTGTGTGGCTTTGAGTTCGGAAACAAAGAGACTTGCTGCCCGTGTTTGAGCAGCTTACCAAAGAAAAAAAGAAAGATAAAACAGAAGCATAGAAAACAAAGATGGTTCGGGCCGGGATAAAAGAAGCACATCCCGCTGGAATTTGGTCTGATCTCTCAATAGATGGACCGGTAATTGGTACACTCATTGTGGTTTTAGACAAAGCCGTAAGTACCCGGACCATTATTCCAACCGCCGTCGTCGCTGTGCTCCACCCCGTTTATTGTCATTGGTTTGTGCCGCCTTGGGTTTCGGGTAACTCTGCTGACCTCGAGATTTTTTTGCGATAGAAAAACTTGCCAAACCGGAAGAAAATTGGGAAACAGGATCCGTATGCTGTCGCACGTCTGGGGAAGGAGGGAAAGCGCACGGATACAGATGTTCGTGGCGGCCAAACACCGCGGTGGTGAGTTTTGTGTCTCGCAAAAGGACTTCTTGGGCCCCTGTTTGTTTCTAACGGGTTTAACTTTGTTTGTAGGGATAAGGAACTCCGATTCCCTGTGCGTAACTCACCGGATTATAGGAAGCTCAAAATCACCGTGTTTAACGACGATAAGAAGACCGACCTGATTGGCGAGTGCAGCATACGTCTTGACAAGATTCTAGTGACTGGCGGCGGAACCGACGATGGTTGGAGGGGGCTGAAGTGCAAGGACAAATACGCAGGAGAAATCTTAGTCGAGTTGACGTTCTGGGACATGAGGCCGACGCCAGAAATGCAGAAGAGGAATGACGAGGCATCGGTCGTTAAGCAGAGGGAAGTCGAGGAAAGGAGAAGGGATCCGATGAGGAAGCTTGGTGGAGCGCGAGAGATGGGATCAAGGGAGAGGATGCCGAAAAGGAGACCGCTGCCGTCAGACCCAAGCCTCTCTCGAGAGGACTTGAGCTTGCCATCCCAACAGTCCCAAGAGCCTGCGCGTGCGACGAGAAGGTCAAGGCATTCCCACCACCCGCAGGTTCACCAAAGCCACCATTCGGACCCGCGAGCTCAACATAGAGAGACGAGGGGTTCAAGACCAATTAGTTTCCCGAATAACAGAGGAGGAATCGCCATGACGCCTGCCGCTGTGAACCCTGGGAATGAAATTTATGACCCGTATGGCCAACATGATAGCTATATTCCGGGTATGGATATGTTGGGCCAATACGACGAACCAGATGTCCGAAACGGCCATCAGACACCTCCCCCCCCCCCACCACTACACTCAAGAAGTTATCAGGGAGATGGGCGCCATCATTCAGCGACAAATATTGCTACTCAGCTTGTCCTTCCGTCCCAGCAGCAAAACCAGCAGGGAAATCTTTCGGGTCATCGAAGACAAAAGTCTCTGCTGAGACATTACCAAAGTGTGCCAGATTGGCAGTACTACCAACAGAATAACCCAATTGACTCCCCAGAAATGCAATTTGACCAGTATGGCGGTTCTTATCCCGGGCCTCAGAATGAGTTCCTTCCCGAGCAAGGGTTTGAGGAGTATGACGATCGTCCCGCACCCTCTCCAAACACACACCTTAACAGGCGCTCAAGGCACCAAGAACACAGCGGGATACGTCCTGAGGACGAGATTCCTGGTCTTTCGTTTGGATCTACACCTACCAGCTCACAAGCTAGTCTTAGGAATAATGATGACCCGCCACCACCACCGCCGCCACCCCACGCCCGTAAGCCCGCTCCGACGCGCACAGAAGAACCTGATTGGCAGGTCAAGCCACTACGTTCGTTCATGGAGCAAAGTACTCCTGCTTACGACGACCCACACGCGCAAATGGCGGCTTTTGGTCTTGAAGAAAGAGTACCGTCTCGGGGAAGGGATATCCCGCCCAGTAGGAACGGCGTGCCAATTCCGCCCAGCCTCGTCCCTGGATTTGTTTCGGAGGAAGAGACAGAAAGAGTTGCGAGGGAGAGGAGATTGAGCTTCAATGAAGCCGCTTCTGCTGAGGTTGCTGCTCTGCTTCATCTCAATGCATCTACGCCGCAAATGGGGGGTCAAATGCAGCACGTGTCCAGCAAGAACTACCATCGGCCTCAGGTGGAGGAAGTCCAGGATGTTGCGCTTTATCAACCGCAGCTCTTACCAGAAGATCAGGTTATCGAACGAACGAAGAAGCAACGGCCAGCACCAATGGTGAAGCCGATGCCAATTCATGGTGAAAGAAACGCGGGGGCTATGGCTGAGGTGACTACTAGTATCAATAAGAGGAATTCGATGATGGTTGCTCCCGAGAGGAAGCCGGTACCACCGCCCTCACCAAAGCCCTTGGAGGGGCTTCCATTTTCACCTGACTCCTTCAATATCATCAACCCTGGTCCAGCTGTTCAGGCAGAGTCCAAGAAGCCCAAGAAGATGATTAAACCTGGTAGCAACCGTGTTCTTGACGCAACTGATATTCTCCCCCCTGAGAGCTTTGCACCGGAACCAGAGCTCAAGAAGCGCAGCCCGCGTCCTCCTCCACAAGTTCCTGCTAATCACAGGAAGGAGAGGGTTCTTCGCAGCCTAAGCCCTCTCCCGCCAAAAAAGGCCGAGAGATTGGCTCTGCCTCCCCCACCTCCTTCTGTACCAAAAAGAGAGTTCGCAAATCCCAATGATAGCGCAGTCGAGGCCCCCAGAGACAGGGAGCGGGAGAGGAAAAAGAAGCTCAGGAACTCGCTGAGCATGGCCCTCGTTCCAAGTAACAGTTCGGGCTCGAGCTCGAGACAGGAGGGTACTAGCAGAAACCGTCATTCCATGGTTCCTGGAGCCATGGTAATGTACAACCCCCAGAGCGAGAGGGAGCAGCGCCGTCAAGATATGGACAGGAACAGAGACTCCCGGGCTCTCGTCCCTTCAAATGGTTATGAAAATTACGGATACGAAGAGCCAAGATATACCGGAATGGAGGTCGCCTCATATGCACCCACCTCAAGGGCATCGCGTGCCCCCACCTCAGGGCCCCCAATCCCGGCGAAAATTCCAATCCCAGGCGGAAATGGCCAGTTAAGCAGGGAGGATTACTTGTTGAGTCAGGAGATGAGTATGATCAACATCGGGTCTACGAACCTGGGCAGAACCCGTAGGAGGTATTAATGCTGCGACGTTGCCACGGGTTCTTGCTTTTGTTCTGAGTAATGATGAAAAAGACGGGATGGGTCGGTGACCGTGAATGCCGTGATAATTGAAGGAGGCTTTTCTTACTATTTCTTCTTTCTTTTTCGGGGACGAGTGATTTACCATCCCCATTTTCTTTCTCTTCTTCATTTTCATTACTCTCATCTTCTCTGTTTTTGATTTTTTTAGCAAGAGTAGCGGGATTGCTGGTGCATGGGTCATACATGCGTGGATACTAGCATAAGGAGTTGTGTTTTCTGATTCGAGTTGTTTCGGCCATTTTTGGGGTGTGGGGTGTGGGGATGGAGGAGGAGGAAGGAGGGGGGAGGGGGGTACTCTTGCATTGTACCAATATTTCATATCATTCATCATCCATCATCATATTGTTACTGTTACTGTTCTGTTTTACTGCGGCGGGCATATATGGCAAGGTGCCTATCCGTTAAGTTACGTTAGTCTTTTTTTTTGTCGGCTGAGTCGATTTGATATATCTGTATCCTTTTTTTTTGTTCTTTCATATCTTCTCTATTCTGCATGTCTGCTTGATTTTTTTGTGCGCGAATTGAGTTCCTTCCCCCCTTACGTTGTATATTATTATGTAGCCCCTCCTTCCCTTCTGGATATGAGCTCTCATACAGGCAAGGAAAGAAAAGCGCCAGAGACCGTAGTCTGCCATAACAAAACAAAAATCAATAAAAGAAGTTGTTTTTGGAACAAAAGCCCTTGCCGTTGTGAAGAAAGAAGAAAGAAAAAAGCTCTTGAGCTTTCTTGGCAATCCAGCCAAACAATCAGCCAGCCAGACAGGGAAAGAAGAAAAAAAAAATCAAGGTACTTGCTTCCCCGGACAGGCTTGAACTGTCAACCTCTCGATTGCAGAAGAGGCTGGTCCCTCTCGGTGTGAGGAGGGGGTCTCTGTAACAGTCGAACGCGCTAGCCAATTGCGCCACGGAGAACTGCGGATTGGGGGACGTACTTGGCCGCTTTGTAAGCGCAAGCAGGGCACTATGCAGGATGTTGCGTACATGTTCTAGCCTTAATTCACTACATGTACTCCCCCCCCCCCCCCCCTTTCTCTCTCTTCGACCATATTCACCATCCCAGAGTTTACTCTATCGCCATTGTAGACGGCGTCCAGTTAAACTCACGTCCTCAAGGGGGGGGGGGGGGGTGCTTAAGACAGTTGACTGGCAGTTCTCTTAATCGGGGTTTCCCATGGCGCAACTGAGAGGGGTGGACCATACCGCTAGGATAGTCCCCCACCCCTTACCAGGGTGGGTGGTTCCTAATCTCGTTTGGCTATTGAGACCCTTTGCGGCGGGATGCAAGTGGGGAGGTAGTGAATTAGGTTGTTTGTTATGTTTTGGCCTGGGAGTAGGAGAAGCTTGAATAAGCTGGGAGGAGGGAGGCAAGGCGGGAGGGGAAAGCACCCGGCGCGCAACTTTTTCCCCCGAGCGAGTGATAGACCATGACTATGAGCAACACCGAAACTGGAAAAAGAAAAAAGTGAACACCCCTTCCCTAAAAAAAACATCCATCAATGTCAGCGAGCTCCGGATCCGCAAAGATCAAAAAGGAAATTTAGGTATCGACATCGGCAGGATTTGAACCTACGCTCGCGAACGAAACAGATTTCTAATCTGTCGCCTTAACCACTCGGCCACGATGTCATGAAGAACAGACTCCGAGTCAGACAATATGATGCAGAAATCCGATTGGCTTGTGAGCCGTGCTGCTGCATCGGCAGTCACTCGATGACGTAGTGCACCCCCCCGCGATGGCCGGTGCCGATAAGGGCCGGCTTCGGCAGCCGCCGAGATGCGGCGGCGGCGGGAGGAACGAATTGCGCGGTTGCTGCAAGTGCGTTAAATGGGCTGAATGCGGTGTGTGTGTGTGTGGAGGTACCACATCTGCAGCCAGACGGGTAGATTGTAGATTCCACCAGCACACCTATATAAACCCCGATCCACCCCCCAGTGCGTGACCCCGCCCTTACTTGCAATGACCCCTCCTCCACCCGCACCCGCACCCGCACCCACACCCACACCCGCACCCACCCCCACCCCCACAGCCACAGCATCCTCACGCCTCGCCTCCCTCACCACCCACCTCACCATGAGCGCCCCCGCGCCCGCGCCCGCGCCCGCCGTGACCTGCCACGTGCTCAACACCTCCACGGGCCGGCCCGCAGCGGGGATCCCGTGCACGCTGTCGCGGTTCCTCAAGCTTGACGACGGCACCGCGTCGTCGTCGTCGTTTGAGGTTGCGCGCGCGCGCACAGACGAGGACGGGCGCGTGGCGCAGTGGGAGACGCGCCAGAAGGGCTCCGCGGGCAGGCTGCTGGCCGTCGAGGAGGGCGTCACGTACAGGATTCGCTTTGAGACGTGGGAGTACTTTGGCGGCGAGACCTTCTTCCCGTATGTGGAGGTGGTGTTTACGGTGAAGGATGCGGCGCAGCATTATCATATTCCGTTGCTGCTGGCGCCGTATAGTTATACGACCTATCGGGGGTCGTAGAGAGGGGGGGTGGTGGGGAAGGAGGGGTGAGGGGTTGGAGGGTGGAGGTTGGAGGTCTGGGGTTGGATGGAGGAGGGGAGAGGAGGATGGGGTTTCTTAAGTTTGGGGTTGGGGAGGAGGGGATTTTGCGGCGGGGAGGTGTCAATGTGTTTTTTTTGTAATTGTGTTTGCTTGTGGGATAATGCGCGGTCAATGATTGAATTGCGTTTGCTTACCGGATATGTGCTGCCAATGATTAGTTGCTTTTTGTTTGTGAAAAAGTGCTGTGCAATCATCAGTCTAGTCAATTCTATCCGATATCAATCATCAACTCCATTCCTCTATTAAATACAAAAGCAGTCCTAGTGATCTTTTGCCCTATTACTATCTATCCATCCACGCTCAGCAGCAGCATCTATAAACCGACTTCCCCGCGCTCCTTCTTCTTCCTGAGCGAATTATAATGCTCCCCAAGGCCAAAGCTATGCCTATAATACCCCAGCCACACCACCCCGCCCTCTGCACCCTCATTCATCCTCTCCACGCCCCTCCCCTGCGCCTGCACCACATTCACCTGCACGCCGTAGGCCCTCGCGAGCGCCAGCACCTCCGCCTGCCCCCCCCACTCGGCCGTCTCGCCCACGCGCCGCACATGCTCGCCAAAGTCGCCCTCAATGAAGGGCGCAAAGTCGTCCGGATGGCGGCCCATAAACTCTGCGCACCGCCGCCGCGCCGCGCGGTAGTCGTGCGCGCCCGCAACCTGGTCCGCAAACGCGCTGTAGAGGCAGTGCCCGTCGGGCGCAATCTCAACCTGCGTGAGCGACAGCGACTGCAGCAGCGTGGTCATCTGCGCTAGCTCGAGGCTGCGCGGGTCGGGCGGCGCCCTGGCGCTGGCGCTGGCGCTGGTGCTGGCGGCGAGGGTGGTGGCTTCGACGAGCGCCGCGGCGCGCCGGGCGAGTTGGGCTTTGCGCCGGTGGGGCTTCTTGCTGCTGCTGGGGGCGGGGCCTGTGGGTGTGGGTGTGGGTGTGGGTGGTTCTGTCTCTGTCTCTGGCCCGGCTGCTACCTCGTCTGCTGCCGTCACGGCTGCCTCTGCATCATCTTCTTTTTCGGGGGCCCCGTCTTTGGCGGCGGCACCACCGGGGTTCTCGAGCTCCGCGGCCTCGCGTGCGTGGCGCTCCTTCAGCTCCCGCTCGAGGGCCTCGCACTCGGCGTTGACGCCCTTGCGTGTCTTTTTCGTGGCGGCCTTCTTCTTCTGCGTGGTGCGCGAGGTCAGGTCGCGGAGCTCCTTGCGGTGGCGGGCGAGCAGGTCGTCCATCGGTCTCAGTCTGTCTCTGGGTGTCTCTCAATTGCGGTGCTTGAGGTATCGTGGGGGGTGTGATATATATCGGCGCAGATGGACGGGGAGCTGTGGTGGTGGTGGTGGTGGTGGTGGTGATAACCCCAGCTGCAGAAATTACGGCAACCCACCACACCAGGGCACACGCAACCCTAACCCTTGCAGCAACGCTCCGCGGCGGCGTGCAGCCTGCAAGAAAGCCCACCGGCCCCCCCGCTGCCCCCGCTGCTGGCTAATCACCCTCAGTGCTGCATAGAGAGAAAAGCAGTCCCGGAATATCGCATTAGCACTCCGACTGCACATCCAGCCGGCAAAGAAAAAGCCATATAGCGAGAACCAGACACCGGCCATCCCACCCCAATGGTGCTGTTCTACGACCTCTCCGCCAGCCACCCCCACGGCAGCAGCAGCAACAGCGCCGCCATCATGGATGCCGCTGGCACCGGCGTGGCGGCGGCGGCCAGGGAGCGGCTCAACAGGGAGCACCCGCTGTCGCGGCTGCTGGCGGCGTACCCGTGCCTGGCGGGCATGGGCCAGTGGCTGGACCACACGGATCTCGGGAACCTGAGCGCGGCGTGCTGGCAGTTCCGCGAGAACATGGGGCAGTACCGCAGCGGGCTGCTGCGCGCGAGCCTGTGGTGCTGCAAGAGCGGGGCGGGCGCGGTGGGGGCCGAGGAGGAGGAGGAGGAGGTGGTGGGGCGCGAGTGGAGGAGCTTTAGGGGTGGGAGCAGGTGTGTGAGGGATATGGTGGCGGGGTGTAGGAGGTGTGGGAGGCCGTACTGCAGGGTGGGTGCTTTTTTCTGATATGGCTTTTCTTGACACTGATCTCTACATCTTCATCACCTGAGTGTATATATATATATGTATGTATATATACACAAATTCACCCCCCCCCCCGTTCCACACCCATTCACCTCCCCCTCCCCCCACCGCTCACACAAACCCAAATAACACCCCAAACCCCGCCCCCAGAACTGCATCCACAAGCCCTCAAAGGCAACACTAAACTGCCGCTCCGTGCCCCCCTGCGGCCCCTGCAGCGCCCTCCCGCCGCACCCCACCGCCTTCCCGCTATGCAGGTGCGACAGCGCAACGTGGATCTGCCAGGGCTGCGTCGACTCCCGCTGGTACGTCGGCGGCCGCATGTGCCTGCTGTGCCACGAGAGCCCGACGCGCCAGCTGTATCGCTGGGACATGGTTGTGAGCCCCCCCACCCCCCCCCCTTCCCTTCCTTTGGGTTCTTTTCTCTCTCTTTTGATGACTGTGGCGGGGGGCGGGGGGAGGTATAAGAAAGGGGGCGGATGGGATGGGATGGGATGGGATGGGGGTTAATGTGCGGTGCTAGGGCAAATGGGCGAGGACTATCTGCACCTGGTGCGATGGGATGGTGTGGAGCGCAAAGGACATCAAGGACATGGCGGACATGGAGGCGCTGGGGTCGCTCATGACGGCCACAACAGTGGCACCCACGGAGCAGGAGGAGGAGAGCCAAGGGCCGGATGCGTTTCTCTCGTTATCTTTCTAGTAATACCTTCTGTCTGTCTGTCTGTCTGTAGTCGTCAGTCAAGCGCAATGTATTTTCTTTTCCTTCTTTTTCTTTTCTTCCTCTTCTAGTGCTACATGTACCTCTTAGCTGGGCATCACACTGGGACGGGGGTGCCAAAGAGGTAGCGCGGAAGACAAACAGCAGGACATCGTGGCCGAGTGGTTAAGGCGACAGATTAGAAATCTGTTTCGTTCGCGAGCGTAGGTTCAAATCCTGCCGATGTCGTAGACAACTCGGGTCTCTCTTATAGTCCGTTGCGGCCTTGGTAGGGCGGTCTGGTGTTTCTCTTTTGGTAGCAGCTGTTTTTTAGAGACTGGAAGGGTTTACACACTGTTTTTTTTTGAGGGGGGGGGTTGTTTTGTTATTACTGTTCACTTTGGATCAACTGCTGACGGCCCTCTACACTGCGGGAGAGGCACTTGAACCTGCGTCGTGGGCTTGTGGTGCGGGTTGTGCCGTGTGTATACTAACCGTCGGGCTAGCGCTAGCACCCGGCGGCAGGACTCTCTCAGGCCAAGCTTTGCATCTTTTTGTCTACAGTGACAGAAACATGGGTAGAGTGACTGCCGCAGTCTTTG